CTACTACTACTACTACTACTACTACTACTACTACTGCTACTACTACTACTACCAATACTACTACTACTACTACTACTACTACTACTACTACTACTACTACTACTACTACTACTACTACCATTACCACTACTACTACTACTACTACTACTACTACTACTACTACTACTATGCTACTACTACTACTACTACTACTACTACTACTACTATATTACCATTACTATACTACTATACTACTATACCACTACTACAATTTCTAGTACCACCACCACTACCACTACTACTATAGTATCATGCTTCTACTGTACTACTACTGCACTGCTGCTGCATCTATTTTGTGCTGATGCCACTGTATAAATAAATCTGTGTGGTGTACCCCAAAAAGTGTATATATATATATATAAGTATTCGGGTAGTACAAACAGAATATGTGTACACATGTGTGCAATCATGTATATGTATATCGTGCCATAGTCGCATTTTATTATTACACACGCACACACAGATGTATGTGTATATATATATATATATATATTTACACACATTACAATATGTTATTTTACTTCTTATTGTATTTCCTGTTCATGTGTGTCGTCGAAAGCGATCTGAGGGTGTACACCATGCGATTCGCTTGGCATGTTATCAGGGTGCTGCCCCGCCTTCAACGAGACGCTTGCCGGAAGCCAGCCAGGTGTCCGGCAGACCTGGACATCCACCAATTGTTTGCATCTCTGGGTGAAGATGTCTGGCTTGACGCGGGGATGGACAGTGTCTTGTGCTACTTGAAGGGCAACAAAGCCCTGAGTGTACCAGCTGACTGGCGGCCGTGGCTGCCGACTGCCATCTAAAGGCTCTATACCAGCACGGTAATTGATCAGGATAGGAGTCTTGGAGCGAACTTAGGCTGCTTCTTCATATTTAGTACTAGGCCCTGAACCCTGAAACATCTGACCCGTTTTTGTTAAGACCTCGTAAACTCATCCTGAAGCATCTCAACTAATTTTATCATCAGATTAGCAGAATTCAGGCAGATTTAGGGAAATCCCAAAAAAACCCACAATTACCCGCAAAATGACCCGCAAAAAAAATGTGACCCGAAATTTACCCGCAACAAAGCCGCAATTGACCCAGTATTATCCGCAATATTTTGCGCAAAAAAGCCGCAATCTCATATAGCCTCAACATCCCCGATTCTTTACTGTGCTGGAGGTATCATACCCTGTTTTGTACCATTCTGGAGACGTGTGTTCTATAGGCACAGAACTCTAGTGTACAGATCTGCTGAACAGAACAAAAAAGCAGCTGTTTCGCATCAGTTGTGACCACATGATCATCAGTCCTGCTCAAAACGTGGACATTGCTGGTTACCTGCATGCTTGTTTAAGCCGTTTGGTCTTGTTTTGCAAAGCCATCCCTAGCGAGGGGATACGCGAGCTACTTTATCATGCCGAAGTCAACCAAAGATGTTGCTGTGAAGGCCAAGGCTGCAGTTAAGTCTGCTCCGAAGGCCAAGATTGCCGTGAAAGTCGAACTGCAAGAGACACCGGAGCCACCAACTCGAAGACCCCGTGAACTCCGCTCCAACTTGTGGAGTTGCGGCTCCCTGCAAGCTGGGCAGAGGGCCCTGAAACGTGTGAAGATCGAGAAGCCGGCTCCTGAGCCCGAGACGAGTGTGCATGAAAAGCAGGCAGAGCTGGAGGCTCGTACTAGTTCTTATATACTGTATTATGTATACATAGTAGAAGAAAATATTATAATAAAAAAAATAAGAAGAAGAAGAAGAAGAATAATAATAATAACAACAACAACAATAATAATAATAATAATCATATATATATATATGTGTGTATACAGTAGACAAAATGCATATGTTTACAATTATCTGTTTCTCTCTCTCTCTATATATATATATATAACTTTAATGTACATATACAAATGTCAGAACCTGTGTAATGGATATAATGGATATTCAATGTTTATGTACATACATATAATACTAGAACGAAATAATGACACACAATTAATATAAATAAACAAATATATCTATATACACATCAAGTCACATATATCTATATTGAAGAACGTGAGATACCTAAAGTAACAGTTCAATATGTGCTAACTTATGTTCATATTTCTCTTCTTCATGTCATAAAACATCTTATATTTATCATACTAGTATATATGTAGATTAGGTTGAGGTAGATTAGATTAAACTCTATATATATATATATATATATACAAACTCATGTTGTATATACTGATTGGATGCTGTTAAAAAAATATGTCACATGGTGCTATATTGGATTTTGTAATCATCTACTATAGAGATCATCTGATATTCTAATGTATCAAATCATACATTACAGTATGTTGTTGTAGCATGTAACAGGTTACACTATATAGACATGTATTGCCCTGAATCATATTGAGTATATTATTTTCATGATCATAATAAACGAATATCTAGAACAACAATATATATATATATATATATTGATAAATTATATCACATATATAGTATGTGTATATATATATAGTTCTATATATATATATATATCCATCCACAGACTGTTCTATTTAAATGACGTTATATATATATATATAATGTTCTGTGTTTGAACAGTATACTGCTTGATCTGTGGTATTATAAAAATTTGTTTTGCAATATTCTCATTTCTAGTTATCATATGATCTAACTGTATATTGCATCGTAACTAATGCAATGTGTTCTATTGCATTGTCTGTTGCATTAACTGTATAATATACCTCTGTCGCTCTCTCTCTCTCTCTATATGTGTGTGTCTGTGTATTGTGTGTATGTCAGACCAGGTTCTACTGTACTATATAATCTGTTCGGGTTTAGTTCGTTTACTATATTCTATTTACAGTAAGCTAGGTTTTAACATATACGAAGTTGTAGGATTATGTATATATATATATAAATAAATATGTAGTTGTTTATTTACTTATTCTAAATACATAATGTTAATGATACACAAATGCATCATGTATACATACATGTACATATGGTTCATATATTGTATTATATGTGTTATATTACATTATAGACTATACGTATTTTCTCGCAAGTCTAGTATGCTACGTTATAACATACTATGTTGTTCATCTTATATACTATATATGCTCCATATATATATATATATACATAGTAAACTGAGGGACCGGGGAAACGGAGTGACCAGCAGGCTTTGGAGCGCCAGCTGGAAGAGCTGCAAGCCCCGCCAGAGGAAGAGGGTGCATTCTCCGACTTCCCCGCTATGTCTGAGGATGATGAAATGGATGAGATGCCAGATGAAGTGCCTAGCCTGAGTGTCTTATGAACACGTTATTTGTGCTTGCTGCTTTCCCTATATAACATATATATATATATATATATGTATATATATATATATGAATACCAGGAATGGGGTGAAGAAGCTTCCGACCAGCAGGCAACGGTGGAAGCCGAGGCTCAATAAGGTAGGGGTGTGTCGTTAGCTTAGTTGTCCCTTGAGTCGCCCCGCTCCCCGGCCAGGCTAGCAAGGTGCCCGGCAAGAAGATCGAAACAGCGGGGCCGCCTAACAATCAGCTCATGGGTCTGCTTCAGGTCACTTGGTTGCTTTTTACATCAGGCTCCTCCGTGTCCGGTTTTCGATTCGATTCGTGTTGCGGGAATATACGGTGTGGAGATTGCAGAAACATAGAAATACATGTATAGTTATATATAATTGTTAGAGTGCTAATTGAAACTATGGTTATATACTGAGGTTGTAGAAAGGGTCTGATAGTTGTGCGAAATCGAGGGGTCTTACGGTTTGTCTAGACGGGAATACTTATGTCATGTGTGAATTGGGCTTTGCCTATCTATTCCTTATTGAAATCTCATTGCCGTGTATGATGCACTGTTCGAGATTGGGGTCCGCCGATCCGCTAGTTGAGCCAGATGGAATAGGGTTTATAGGGTTTTGGGTTTAGGGGTTTAGGGCCCTATAAACCCTATATAAACCCTTTAAACCCTATATAAACCCTACAAACCCTAAGCCCCTGAGGCCAATCCTGATTTGGCCCAGCAGCTGCTGGACATGCTGCAAAACAAGGAGACAGTCAGTGCTACTACCCCGAAGAAGGTGAAGCCACATAGATCCCCGTCAATGGCGAGTGTTGCTAGCAACGGCAGCAGCTCTAAGTCGCCTGGCTCGACCGTCTCCACCACGACCACGGCCTCGCCTCACAGCACGGCTTCCGGGCAAGAAGGGCAGGTGCAGCATACATTGAAGTTGCTTCTCCAATGATAGACACCTCTATCTTAGCTATCTCTCAACCCGGCGAGGCAAAGACTCCCAGTGCGGTGTCCGTTCCCACATCAGAGATTGCACGGGAGCATCGCCTTCGACGGATCTGCCAAAGGCGGAAGAACGGCACGTTAATCGTGCCAGAAAGCGTCCACCTCCAGTGGAAGAACGGGGGAACGGAGAAGCAGAAGCTTATGGAGAAAATGGATGAGGTGGGCTGGGATCGAGTGCCGTAGCTGCAAACTCCCACGCTGACGAAGTTTCTAGCTTCTAGATGTATATAGTGTTTAACAAGTTGTCGACTATGCACACTCAGGCCAAGTTCCGTGCTATGGTTACGACAGAAGTGAGCAACGAACGCGAGAGAACCATGAACAATGGCAACGGCTACTACACAGACGAGGAGATGAGGGTAGAGTTGAAGTGGTCGAAGTGACCTGATGGCATCGTGCGAGTGCGAGTGTACTTCCTACATAATTACGTACGCAAGCAATGTAGATGCAGCTACAGTCCGGCATCCACAAACGCATGGTCATCTCAGGAACTACATCAAGAAGGTCATCGCACATTGCGAGAAGCACAAGCTGTACGAGTCCGGGCCTTATATGGGCCTTTCGTTGTATTCATCGGTTGTGACAACAGAGGATGGCTTGTATTTTGAGGCATTCACAAACCAGCCAACTAAACCCAGCAACCATACCAACCCTTTAGCTGGTCCTGGGTAGTTAACTTGTATAAACTATATACTATATATATATAGTCTGCTGTACATATATATATATATATGTGTGTGTGTGTGTACAAATGTATGCACATATACACATATACATATACATATATATATATATAGACTATCTGTGTACGAATACACTATATGAATATATGGTTAATATGAGGTGTGCAGTGTACACATACATGGGTATAGTGACATGCACACACACACACACACATATATATATATATATATGTACTGTTGTTGATATAAATCCTGCATTACCTTTAGGACCCTAGACTACGCATGGGAATTACGGTATATATTCCTTATTATGGGTAATGCAGGATTTATATCATCAACCGTATGTGTGTATATATATATACACATACGATTGTGTGTGTAGATTAAAATAGTTTGATCCCTATCCTTATTTGTTTGCTATCTATCTACATATATATATATATATATAGAGAATATGCAGACACACACACACACACGTAAAAAAATATATACATATATAAATAATTATATATATATATATATAATGCATATGTGTGGGTGTATATGTATGTATATATACATATATATTGAAATATCTACATATATATATATATATATACACACATAATACCTGAATCACACCATGGAAGCTTCAGTTCATGGCTGGAATGAACCTTTGCGGCACATTGCACTAGAATAACTACAAAACCCTAAACGGTGAGTTGGTGTGTACTTGCAGCTGACTGATCTGGGCGGCTCAACCAAACACCTTACTAATTATCTATCTATCTATCTATCTATCTATCTATCTATCTATCCCTAAGCCCTAGACCCTAAACCCCTAAACCTCTAAACCCTAAGCCCCAAACCCTAAGCCCCGAAACCTTAGGCTCTTGGTGTACTTAGCTGACCAGGCTCGCACTTCAAAGGTCCTTTGGAGCAAGTGATGAAGCAGTCTTCAAACGAGTCAAGCTAGTGTTGGAGGTATTTAGTTTAGGGCTTCGGGTTTTAGGGTTAAGGGTTTAGGGTATAGTATTAGTATGAGTTGTGTATTGGCGCAGTCGTGTAGGATTTCGGCGCAGGGACTGGACGTCTAGAGGATCGAGATGCGTGTCAGCCTTAGCCTAACCTAACCTAACCTAACCTAACCTAACCTACCTACCCTTTTGTAGACTCTTACTATGAAACATTACACACCCTCACATGGCATTTATGGGGATCGTACAAAATAGTAGGCTCTGGTAGGTCAAGCTACCCTCCCACCACAGAGCCGAACCCTCACCTGTGTAGCTCGATTCAAGAGCCTCCAACAAAAAAACTCAAGAAAAGGGGTTTTAGGGTCTGGGGGACAGGAGCTATTAGGGAGTCGCTACAAAACGCGATGCCGCAACCCTTGATTCCCACCCTGAAGCTTCTGAAAGTAGTAGCTATCTGCTCAGATTAACACAATGTAACACCCTTATATAAGTAGCCCCATAGACGGATGACTTTAAGGGGTTCCGTAAGCGGTTCTTTTTAAGTGCTCCTTAGATTAAATGGGCTCCTTTAAGGGATCCTTTAAAGGGACCCCTTTCTAACTCTTCCCCCCCCAGACCCCGGCCTGTCCACTCTGCACAGCCGAAGGAGTCTACCCCCCAGGGCACGTGGGTCCAGAATCTATGCTTCTGCGACATGCGCCCGGTGCCTGCCAACCAACGGCTTTAAGGCTTTGAATCCAAGGCTCCATGTACCAGTATGTACCTTGGCCTTCAAGTGATCAAGTATTCCATTTTAAAATTACTTTGGGGGGCCAGAGTATATACCCCAAACCCTAAACCCCGAACTATTTGGCCAGGCGGGCCGTTAGGTTAGGGTTCGGGCTCAAGTTTTCGGATGTAGGGCTCAAGGCTTAGCCAGGTGGGTTTCGGCCCTACACTTCGACCGTTGGTAATATAAATCCTGCATTACCTTAAGGACCCCAAACTATGGGAATTATGGTGTATTCCTTAAGCCTAAACCCTAAACCCTAAACCCTAAACCCTAAACCCTATACTCGGAACCTTAGGGCTAAGCCCTTCTGTCCGGTTCAGGGTTTAGGTTTTAAGGTTGTTGCTTTTCTTAGCTGAAACACTATAATCCGAAGCCCTAAACCCTAAACCTTAAACCCTGAACAGTATACCTTATACCCTATATAGGCCCTATACCCTATAAACCCTATACCCTAAACCCTAAACCCTAAACCCTGAACCCAAAGCCCTACTCGGGTTAGGCGTTCCTGTGCTCGAGTTCGAGGTTTTGGGCTCAGCTCCCGATCCAAGCAAGGCCCCCGCCTGCACAGGCCATCAGCACTGCCTGGGGGATGTAAAGGGTTTACGGGATTGGGGTTTAGGGGTTCAGGTTTAGGGGTTCGGGTTTAGGGTTTAGGGTTCAGAGTTTGGGGTTAGGGCGCTGCTCGGACATGGCCAGGCATGACGGCTGATGATATAAATCCTGCATTACCCCTAATAAGGAATCTACCCATAATTCTCATAGTTGAGGGTCCTTCAGGTAATGCAGCATTCACATCATCCACAGTCGTATACCTTGCAGCTTGGGCTTAGGATTCAGGAAACAGTACGAAACTACCTTTCAGAACAGGGTCGCTGTGACAAAGGGGGAGCTTGTGGCAGCCATGCCTATAGGCTCTATTGTAGTTCCTGTTTGTGGGATCCCATAAAATAATCAGTAGAGGGAACTACAATGGAGCTTATGGATAGCAAGTGCCCTGCAAACGTTGTGCCATGACGTGACGTCTCACGTATCTGCTCCGCTACTGCTATTGCTACCGCTGCTGCTGCCACCACCGCTACCACTATTGATCACTATTGCTGCCGCTGATGCTTCCGCTACTACTGAGGACTGCTACTGTCACAGCTGCGCCCTGCCGAAGCCATTAACGCTAAGCAAAGCAATCCTGTGTGGGATCTCTGTCGAACTGAAACCTATGCTTTAATCAGGCTTCAATAGTTCAGGGTCGTGGCTGTTGGGGGCTGCACCGGCTTCGGGCATACAGAGTTTAGGGTGTGTCTAGAGCTTCGCGTTTCGGTTTTTCAGGCTTCGAGTTCAGATGTCTTGCAAAGCCATGACTGGCTATCGGCTGGGGCTTGCAGAAATCGAAGGACCGCGAGGCGGGTCCCCAAACAAAATGAGCCTGACTCTCCGGACCCCTAAACTTAAACAACGCAGCCCTATATCGCTGGAACACCCCATGTGTTCTGGTCACCAACCCTAAAAACCCCAAACCCTGCCTGAGTGGTGCTCGGCCGGCTCCGAATCTCCAGCAAAGACAGGGACAGCTCCTGTCAGCAGCTGGGAAGCCCAAACCCTGCGCCCCGGATCATATGGGAGTTTCTTTGGGGTTCTTGTTCAGGATCCTTCATGTAAGTTGCCATAATAAGCAAACCTACTATTTACTACAGATCCCTATTATGGTAACTTATGTTGAGTTAGAAACCCAATCTTAAAGAGCAGTGAGGGCAGCGGGGTCTTTGTGATCCTAACCTGGGATTTGGTTGTTCCATTTCCTGAAACCTCGCCATTCCCGCAGCCCTACCCTGCACCACTGACCAGGGCTCAGTGTTCCTAGACCCTGATAAGCCTAACCCCAAACCTGACTAAAAACTCTAAGCCCTGAACTTAACAAACCATAAACCCCAAACCCACCACCCTAAACCCCACACCCCTAAACCGAAACCGAAACCCTAAATCCTACAAACCGAACCCATGTCTGGACTCCTACAGTAAATCCTATGAACCCAAAGCTCTAAACCTAAACTCGCCATAACTCTAAACCTAAACTCGAAACCCCTTATAAGCCGAAACCCTAAACCCTGTAAACCCCGAAACCATGTCAGGACTCCTACAGTCAAATCAATGAATCCCAAACCCTAAACCTAAACCTAAACTCGAAACCCCTAAGCCGGAAACCCTAAAATCCCATAAGTCCCGAAACCAATCCCAAACCCTAAACCTAAACTTGAAATCCCTAAGCCGAAACCCGAAAATCCTATAAACCCCGAAACCACAACCCTATGGACTCCTTCTCCACAAGGCCACAGACTTTCAGTCTGAAGGTCTCTGCATCCAGGTAGGGCACATCGTAGTGGATGAGCAAATAATGCGATCCGACGGCCGTAACCTTCAGGGCTTCGGGGGGTTTAGGGCTTTAGGGTGTAGGGTTTAGGGTGTAGGGTTTAGGGCTTTAGGGCTTTAGGGCTTTAGGGCTTTAGGGTTTTAGGGGTTAGGGCCTTTAGGGCCTTTAGGACCTTTAGGGCCTTAGGGTGTGAGGGCTTTAGGACTTTGGGGTTTAAGGTCTTACCCCCCACAGTAATATAGGTAATTATTTAGGCCCCTACATTAGGCTCTTGGGTTCGTATGAGCACCGAGAGTCCCTGTAAAGAACCCATGAAAGCAGAAACTCTCCGACCTCCTGGGAAAGCGTCTCAATATGCGCCCCATGACAGCGCTTCGCAAGCTGCAGCTCTGCAGAAGTTATGTCATCTCTTCGATCCGTGTGCCTGGGTCTAGGGGTATAGGGTATAGGGTTTAGGGTTTAGGGTTTAGGGTTTAGGGTTTAGGGTTTAGGATTTAGGGTGTAGGACGTTTAGGCTTAGGGTTGACCCTAACCCCCAAACCTCAAACCTTCACGCCCCAACCCCAATGAGGGATTCTCTTCAGCGTTGGGAGTCTTGATCTAATGTAGAGGCCTTTATAATTAGAATAAGGTCTTGGGGGGGGNNNNCTAAACCCGAAGCCCGAACCCCTAAAACCCGAAGGGACCTCCAATCGTCTGGCTCCAGCTTTTCATGGTCCGACTTCCCGAAGTTGGGATAGCCCACATGGGCGAGGGTGGCCTCACGTAAAGGTGCTCCGTCTTCCTACTGTGATTTCGGGTTTAGGGTTTAGTCTTCCTACGGTGATTTCGGGAAGCGTTTGGGTCCTGATCAGGATGACGATGATGATGATG